GATTTATTATTTTTAAAATAAACACAACGTTCAGTTTTTGTTTTACCTTTACATTTTTTCTTTTCTCGCCTTTTTAGCACCTGAAGTCCTATTGCATCTATTTTTACATTTCTGTCCGTACTACTTTCGTACACATATCGTTTTTCAAATAAAAAAATTTTGCCACCAAATGTTATCCCCATGTATTATTTTTAAAGAAATAATATAACGAATATAAAAAAATGTATGGCAACACTTAACACTCTATTCAGAATTCTAAAGATATATTGTTTTAAAAACTTCTGTGATTTTGCTGTTGAATTTTCTGAGTCGTAAGTGTGAACAGTTAGGTTTAATAAATAAAGTTAAAAAGGCAAAGAGTGAATAATAAAAAGACGTAAAAAGCTGTGTGAAGTAAAGTGTGATACTGAGAAAACTAAACATATGCTAAATAGAAAAAAAAAATAAAAACTTAATTTAAAAAAAAAAAAAAAAAAAGAAAGAAAGAATTCAGATTTTTACTGTCATTGAAAAAAAAAAAAAAAAAAAAAAAAAAAAAAAAAAAAAAAGAAAAAAAAGAAAGAAAGAAAAAAAACACCTCTTGAAAGTTGAATGTAGTTTATCAGTATATATTTACCAGAAGAGATGGCCTCAGTGGAAGGAATAGCGAAGCATTTTATGGAATACTAAATGAATATACGCTTAGACTAATATGGGAGCGTTATATATCTTCTAAAAATATATAATGTAAAAATAGCTAATTTTTTAATCAGATTGTAAGGTTGCAATTGCTGCGGATACTAAATTCAAGTCCGCTGAGTTCAAGTTCAATCCCTACCAAATTAATCAGCAAGCTACCACTACGTCTGTAATAGTACGACAAAGACTTTCGAAGGTTTTAAACAATCTTTTGTGGCGAACCTTACAAGATATATCGTACATTTAATGCACTTTATTTGAATCAATTAGATGAAAATGTAAAAAAATAATAATCTTAAGAACTGCATCTCCTGCTTTTAAATAGCTTAGCTTGTTAGCCAATAACAGACAGATTAAATTTGTTACATTTTACTGAAAGGCAGTAGACTGGAATGAAAAGTGAAACGACGCATTTAAAGCAAATCAGAGCAAAATCGTGTTCAAATCGAGTCCTTTTGGGCTAAAAATAGAATTACGAGTAATACTCACTAAAATATTCATTTAAACAACGCTCAATATTCTATCGGGAATCTAAAAATATGCTGCCGATAAAATTTTGTGATTATACTGTTGAATTTTATGTGGCGTAAGTGCGGAAAGAGCGATTATAAATAAAGTTAAAAAGATTTTTAAAAAATCTCTAAAAGAATTGCGTTTAAATAACCGTTGTGTTGCTCGCGACAAAAAACATCAAAACAGTATTTAATCTCGTTGCACGTTGCTTGAAGCATATTTGGTGGCATTTACTAAATATTCCGTTAGGTCAAAGCTCAATTTATAAAATTAGAAGCGCCGGAGTTTTGTGGAAGACCATCAGAAAAGAGGAACAAAATTAACTAAATAAAAAACAAAAATATAAATAAAAAAGAAAAAATCTGAAATGTTTCAGATTTTAAATTACGTCCAAAGGGGCGTTTTTTAACATTTTGTGTGTTACCTTTCTTTATAAATATCATGTTCCTCGCACTTAAACCATAAGATCCAGTGCAACAGCAATATCGCAAAATAGTTTTAAAAACGAGCATATCTTTAGAATTTCCGATACAGAGACTCACGCGCTGGAGATAAAAATGTTTTTTCTGCACAACGTTGCCATTGCTCGCTTTGAAATCCTTGAGTTTGTTAATCAAAAATTCGTCAAAGTTTTTAAAAAATAGGAAATCAATCATAAAACAAATTTCAAATTAAAATTGGTCTTCCACATTCTCATATTCGTTGGAGGATTACGTTATTCAAAATTCGATAACTCTATGTACCGTTGTTTTATCACAATACGAGAAATATACATACATTTATGCAGATTTTTCATTATTTAATTTCTTCAAATATAATGCAGGACTCTAACATTTTGTGGCAACAGTTTGAAAAGTGAACCGGCATTTATGAGTCCGACGCAAAATGCCAAAACGAAACTAATAGTCCTTCGGGATTCAAATCCCTTTGGACTAATAAAAACAATAAATAAAAAAATTCTGAAAGGTTTCAGATTTTAAATTACGACCAAAGTGGCTTTATATATATAAACATTTTTTGTGTTACCTTTATTTATTAAATATCATGCTCTTCGCTCTTAAACCACAAAACTCAGTTCAAGATCAATATCGCAAAATAATTTTAAAATGAGCATATCTTTAGAATTTCTGATACACAATCTCACGCGCGCTGGAGATAAAAATGTGTTTTCTCTACAACGTTGCCATTACTTGCTTTGAAATCGTTGAGTTTGCTCATCAAAAATTTGTTAAGGTTTTATAAAATATGAAATCGATAATAAAACAAGTTCCAAATTTCGGCTTCCAGATGCCCGTATTCACAGGAGGATTACGTTATTCAAAATTGGATGGCTCTAGGTGCCATTGTTTTATCACAATGCTATAAACATGCATGCATTTATGCAGATTCTTCATTATTTAATTTCTTTAAATATAATACAGGGCGATAATATTTGGTGGCAACAATTTGAAAAGTGAACCAACGCTTGTAGTGAATCAACGCAAAATGCCAAAACGACATTAATTGTTCTTCTGGGCAAACTGCCCCTTTGGATTAAAAGAATCTGAAAGTTTTCAGATTTTACATTACGCCCAAAGGGGCGTTTTTTTACGTTTTGTGTGTTACAGTTATTTATTAAATATCAAGTCCTTCGCAATTAAACCGTAAAATTCAGTTCAATAGCAATATCGCAAAATAATTTTAAAATGAGCATACCTTTAGAATTTCCGATATAGTCTCGCGGCGCTGGAGATAATCCCCCCCTCCTCCTCCTGTACAGTGTTACCATTGCTCGCTTTGAAAGCGTTGAGTTTTTTAACCAAAAATTCGTTAAGTTTTAAAAAATATGAAATAGATAATAAAGCAAATTCCAAATTTGGGTTTCTAGATGCCCATATTCAGGTGGAGACGTAGATTATTCAAAATTTGATGGCTCTAGGTACCGTTGTTTTATCCCAGTGCGAGAAACATACATAAATTTACGCAAATTTTTCATTACTTAACTTCTTTAAATATAATACAGGGCTTAATATTTGGTGGCAACAATTTGAAAAGTGAACCGACATTTATTGTGAATCAACGCAAAATGTCAAAGCGAAATTAATAGTCCTTCTGTGCAAACTGCCCATTTGGACTTAAAAAAAAAAAAAAAAAAAAAAAAAAAAAAAAAAAAAAACTGTAAAAAGAAAACTGTACGAAAATGTCCAAGCAGACTTGTTAAACCCTCTCGTGTGATGGTGATTTCAATTTTATATTTTAAATGTTAATTATAGATTATTTTATTTTATTAATGTTTTTAAATTTCTTAAAATAAACACCAGAAACCATTCATGGCATGAGGTATATAAGTAGCCGTGAGGGCTTTATGGCTTGACAATTGGTATTTTAATCGCATGTTTGATTTCTAACAGGACAAAATTGGCGGTATAGGTGCATTTGTGGTTTCTTCCTCAAGCAACGCAAATAAGAAATTCTTAGCCATAAACTTTTCGAAAGTATCTTATTAATATGCTTCATTCCTTGGGTTTACCACCTATGAAAACTAGGCCTGATTTTTCTAAATTACTTTTCTACCAAAAATTTAAGAAAGGGGAGGGGCGAATAATTCTCTCTCTCTCTCTCTCTCTTTTTTTTTTTTTTTTTTTAAGCTACGCGGACGATTTTATAAACTATGAAAGCATTCGTTGTTCACTTAATTTCTTGTATTTATAATATTTAATTTTAATTGTTGATTATTTATTGCTTCATCTATTATTATTTTATTTATATTAATTTTTTATTTTTCACTCCTGAGGATCTAACAAAGGGCTGAAGCACTTGTAGTTTTAGAAATTAAGCCCTGACTACTTGTTAACAATGACGTGCAAATCGATATTCGTTGCTTATGGTTTTCAGCTCCACTTTCATATGGAACTCAAAAAGCACAACACAAGAAAACTTTTCCATACATTTTAACTGATTTATTGCTCATTGAGCACAACAAAGCCTGTCTGTTATCTTTATTGGTTATATGTTAATTCAGTGGAGTTGCGAAAGAAAGGACGTGGTGTCAAGATTATAATGATTCATAAAAATTTCAATTTCAGAATGAATAATATTGTATGCAAATGAATTCTGGCAAATCAAAATCAGTATTACTTTGAGATTACCTCAATATTAGAAATTTTAAAATACGTTAAGTTTTTAATAATTTCGAAAATTCATGCCATGATCTATGATGAAGTAACCCATGTAGCCAGTGAAAGGAATAGTTAAAGATATCAAGAAAAATTTACAGATAAGTTTATCTTAAATTAGTAGCTAATGTTGAATGCTAAGTTGTGTTTAAAGCATCTTACATGAGATGAGAAATAATTTTTGTTGCTCACAAAACTGTTCATAAAAATAAAGCAATCTTTCAGCAGCCTCGATGTCGTGAAAAAAGGCCAGAACAATGTAGGCAGCACCAGAACTTATAAAAAAAGCCCCTGGTTCTGCAGTATATTCTGCTTACTTTTCCTCTCTAGAGACACCTCTGGTATTCATTGGTCAAAGAACGAATGTACCCCAGTTTCCAGACCTATGCAAGCACAGGAACTCAGAAATTCTCTTTACCCATTTTTTTATAGTTTGGTAAATGAATGACTGCATAATATCTTTGTAACAAATTTTCCTAAAAATTTAATACATATTAACACAATACCTAACTAATAATGTCACATATTTTATAATATAAACCGAAATACATCTTTTCATAACATACTTAAAAATTAAAACAATAAGCACCGTGAATACTAATGCATAAAACGGGAAATAATAAACTAAATGGATAGAATTTTAAAAATACTCACCCTTGCCAACGTGACTGTATGGTACTCCCAAACCACACGTTCCCCTCCCTGTAAAGAAAAAGATACATTAAATTAGATTCAAAACACTTTATATGCATGGAATTCAAATATCAAAAGATTCATATAAGAAAAAAGAACCCTAAGCCATGAGTTTCAATTAAAAAACCAAATAAGGAGGCGAATCAGAGAACAAAAGTCAACTGAGAACAAAGGAATTCTGCCCTTCTGCCAAGGGCGTTGCTCGAAAAAGAAACAGTCATCTTTCAGGAAAGTTGACGCAAATGTGAATTATTAGTAAAGATATAATTAACTAGTGAAATACGTTTCATAAATGATAATAGACACGCGAAACTTTGTTTCAACTTAATGCTGAGTTAACCCTTCCAGTTCTTAATTCAATTAAGGATGCGTACATTTAAAAAACAAAATTAAGAATGTTGTTAACTATAAAATCATGCAAGAGCCATACATTTTTACCGTCTATTTTTCAACTGCGTTTAATTTTTTTTTTAATTGCGTGAATAACGTTTCATTCGGAATTCATTTATATGCAAAATAGTGAAACGTGTTTTCCGACTATTAAATGACGAAGGAATCATCAGAAATGAAGTCATTTAACATTCTCGAACATAATAAACTCTCTTTCCCTTTTGTTTTAAATTCTCAACCACTAACAATTTTTACCATGCTGATAAGATGGCGATTGTTCTGTGTTTGAATTCGAGCTAAATACCTAAAACAGTGTTTTCCAAAACATCTAATTGCAATACGTATAATATTCAGTCTTCGCTTTCATTTTCTAGTTGATGATTATTTCAAATAAATTAAATGAATGGCAAAACTATTTTCATTTTACATTCGCAGTGTAATAACCATTTTGAAAAAAAATGAAAATATGACTATGCGCTGTTAAAAATAAAATTCCGTACCTAACAGAAAACTTTGATGTAAGCACAAGTCGATTAAAATTGAAGTCTTGGACAAAATTTTCTTTCAGGAGTTAAAAACCGCCTACTTTCTTTATTTTTGTACGGGGAAGGGCCAGGATTATGAGGAAATTATAAGGTGATTTTGGGACCTTCTGAAACCTAGGACTCTAAGCTAAGACTTTGTGGACCTAGCAGTAATCAAGTTCTCAACGTAAGAAGCCTTGTGATTTGAATTTTTAAACTTTAATCCGTTTATCAGACTATAAAATTTCTCATGAAATATGGAAAGGTAGCATACTACCTAGAAGAGTTATACAGATTATTATAAGTCACTTAGCAGTCTGAATTTTAATAGCTTCTCCTACACTATATAATGACAGAACAAAGAAACACACGATGCCTATCCAGTAGGATACAAAAAGATATTTATATATATAAATAGTTTGAGTAGTGGCAATAATTGAATAGGGATTTCTTTAGCCATCAGTTCGTGATCTTCGTACGCAGCTTCAGATATTCAAAAGAAACGAGAAGAAATATTCTAGAGTTATACAAGAAAACGTTAGTGTAGTTAGTTTATGCAATGAAAAATTTACAATAATTTTCAAGCTGTCATGCAATGCTCGCAACAGCATTTTCCTAGAGAAATTTTATTTTGAGGTTACACTTCTCAGAATCATCGGCATGACAACAGAAGAATGAGAAAATAATTTTCCCAGAAAATATGCGGTTTACCAAGATACGTAAAACCGCTTAAATACTCATAGACTCCAACCTTCAGCAAACCTTGTCAGTAGTCAACGCGCGAACGACATTTTTACAACTTTGAAAATGTGCGCGTAGCGTATGTTGTAATTAACCATTCATTAATTTTAAATTAATAATTAATTGTAATCAACTTTATTACATTTAAATCCATAACATATAAACTGAATAATTAAAAATATACCTTGTAAATATATGCACATTTAATTAGAATTTCTTTTAACTCCTCAAGCATTCACTAATAAAAAGTACTTCAAATCACTACTATCATAGAAAAATCAGAAGCTAAATCATATCTTTTCTGGATATGATTTCTACAGGGAAATAAATTTAAATAACCAGAATATACATATAAGTATTAAAACAAAATACGCATAATTTATGAATGCAAAGATTTATATGTAGCATGCTTAGCAAGCTTAAGTTCTGATTTTGAGAATGTTTTTATAACACGTTCTTCTTGCCTGCATATTTATTTTCAATCAAATGCTTCAAGAGTTTTAAGACCTAAATTTGGTCGAAATCCGTCGATTTTTTTAACAATAGAAAAAATTCTTTCGCAAGCTGCATTTGAATGAGGTATTATTAGACAGCAGCATACAGAAGGCAATACTTTGTATTTATACACCCATCATATTTTTTAATTGGCAATTTCTCCCCATGCTAATCATACGCAAATCTACAATTTCTTTCAATCTCTACTTGATACATGGAAAATTCAATTTACACTTGATTAAGATATTTTTCATCAATAATGGATGGAAAAATATTTATCAAGAACAGATGAAAATTAAACTTCAGTTCACAAGTTGATGTCAGCAACTTCAGCATGTTTTAGAAATGGATTACTTAGTGGAAATTTTTCTATTATATCTATGAGCATGCAGTTAAAAAAGCTCGCAGAGACTTGAAAAATGATTTCACTTCCCTTTCATTTAAACTTGGCATTTTTTAAATATATTCTTTTTTTCCGCACCAATCACTAAATTTTCATTTTCTTTACTTCTGAAATGGAATAGATGTTAGAGTAAAATTTTCACTTTCCTTAGAAATTACTGATGGTTTTATGAATCTAACAAGTTCATTAAAAGTTCAACAAGTTCTCTTCTCAATTTATGTATTTAGGAGCTTGTTGTGCAAATTAATATTTACTGTTATACACAAGGCAAAGTATTTTTCAAAATAACAAGTACATTGGTGGTCGGTGACTGTAAAAAATTTTTTTAATGTTTTGCAATCTCTTTCCTTCATTCTAAATGTTATATGGTTTATCTCCAAAAAAATTTATACCAGCATCCACTGTTCCAAATCCTTGTTATAGATTCTAAAAGAGACAACCATCTCGACTGCAAATTCAAAATTTTATGAGATTTTGGCATTTGTCCCAAAATTGTTGAGCAAACTTTGAAGCTATGCTTCCGTTCGAACTTTTCTCCAAGTAAAAAATATATATATTATCAACATTTCAATTTCTGAGCCAATTAATTTTCGTAGCTTTTTTTGCAGCTATATGCAGAGGGTGGCACGACAACCTCGGGTGATTATACTTGGTTGATGCATTTTGATAATGATGCTACACCTTTAAATTCCAATCATATTACTAGCATTATCTGAAGAAATGATAAGCAATTTTTTCCATTCTAAACCTTTTTTTTAAAGTTTTCATTTATACAATTAAAAATACCTTCTCCTGTATATTCGTGCATTCTAAAATAGAAATCAATGAAGTAATTATCACTCCCCTTTTTCTTTACTGTAGTATGTTGATAACCAATGGGTACAGTTGTTATCATTGTTATCATTACTTCCATCAGTACTTAGAGAAAATGATGTACTCACACTGATTTATAATATCCAGCAACAGTATTTTCTGCAAGCGTTTTCACATAGCAGCATTTTGGTATGACCGCGCTAAATTTTTTTGCTATGGCAGAATCCGGAAACATTGCTTTGAAAAGCTCTTTGGAATGATCCGAAACAGAAAGCGGTAGATTATGTTCATTAAAAAACGAACAAATAGCATTCGGCTTTTATAGGATCTGTTCAATCATCTTTTATTAAGAAATTTGTTATTTCTTTTAGATTTTACGGTGCCAAGTTCTATATGCTTTTAGAAAACACATGCCGTTTACAGTCATCTTTCCGCCATGAGCAACTGAGAAGTCTTTGTTGCATACACTGCAGTGTGCGTGATTCACGAAAATTTCGGACGCTTTAATGCATGGAAATTCTGAAGAATATGAATCTTTAAACTCTGCTTTGATAATTGTGGCTTCTTCGTTCGAGGCAAGCATTATGATTAAAAAATCTTTCAACCTGATTCACAGTTCACAAGACACACGCTAAGCTCTCGCCGTAAAAACCTACACAATGCAGCCGAATGCGCCTAAACACGCATCAGCGAGGAACCTGGGAGACAGACAATTGGGTGGAAACTATTGATAAGTCGTTAACGGTTGGAGTTACTGATCTACGATTGGCTAATTCTTCAAAACTAGGAACGCACTCAACACGTGATATATGATAACACGAGCATTCAGCCAATCATCGGATGAATTAGTTGGTTCCGTTTTGCGTACTGGTTCTCCTGCTCTTGTTTCTGTAAAATCCGTAGTTTTTTCCATACTTTTCGTAGCTCGTAGTTTTTCATGAATTTCCGTAGAAACTACGGAGAATCCGTAGTAGTTGGAGTCTATGAATACTATGTGTGCAGTCTATACAATTGTTCAACACAGAGGTAATGCCCATATTATTGATCTATTGCCATACTGTTTAACAAAAACCATTTCTACGGTATTTACACATTTACGCACATAAATCAAGCTCCCAGCACATCAATACACTTCTACGTGCTCTTAGTATATCAATATATGTATTAAAAGAGAAAAAAATTAACTGAAATAAAAATAATAAAGCTCAAATAAAACCTTGAACTAAACAATGAACCAGCACATCAATACACATTTACATGCTTTAAGTATACGGTAAAATTTATTGCAGTAATAATAATATAAATAAAATGAATACATTCTAACCTTTTCGGAACATCAAGAAGTTAATACTGTAAAGTAATAAACCGTAAGAGAAAACATTATAAAAGAAACATCAAAAGCAAAAAACAAAGTATCACATTTCATATTTTCTTATGTCGTATTTTATTGATTGCTATGTTTGCCTAATTATCCAGGCTACCTTTCAATTGTTATGATTTATCACTGTGGTCAATTTCTACTCACCAACTCGCAGCTCTGCTTCTATTTCAGTGACGATAATATTTACGAGACGTAATTTCTGAAAAGCCTCTTTACAAATTCACATATGTTGCTGCTATAACTTTCAATTACATTGAAAATT